AATTAAGTGGTCTTAAAATAATATATATTATATTATTTTAAGACCACTTAACTATCATCCTTATAACATTTTTAAAAAGGACAACAACTTGCACTTTTCACCGCAACAATTTTTATCAGTGGAACCACCGAAATATCGCTTTGCTCGATATATTTGATGCTCCTTTGATTAGTTTAAGTCTAATCGAGTTTAAAGTTTAGAGTGCTCGATTATAAGTATCGTATTGTTTTTAAACTTGGCCGATCTTATAGAAAACTCCAAGGATTTCTTTATGCTGTTCGCATATTTCATTAATGAATTATTTTGAAAATTCACACGTTTTAAGACTTTAATAACACGGTGTTAATAATTCAATTATATTTACATCAATATAAAGCTCTATATTTGTAATATATAGATCTTGCTATGCATCGAACATCGGTGAACTGTTTGATAATTATATTTCATCCTAAAATCATAGTTTTTTTAAAGTAGGGTAGCGTGCCAAAAATAAATTGTAGGATATCATCATGCTTAAGAAATATAGTTATTATTAGCATAACTATAAACTTACTCGATCCTCTGAATGTTGCGCTAACTCAAAATAATAGATTTAAACGAAAAGAAAATGATAATTCTTTACAAAGAAATGAAGACTAACACAAACAGTGCAAGATTAATCCATAGTCATTAAACAAAAAAACTTTTGATTTCAATGTGCTACATTTTCGGAACAGTTTACTGTATAACAAATACGAATTTTAAATACTTAGTTTATGCATGATAAGTTTTCCTAGAACAATATTGATATTCTGAGGACCCACCCGCTATTTCACCCCAGATTTATTTTTACCAACTTCTTCAGAAAAAAACAAAACAAAAGAAAACATTCAATTATAAATCAAATCTAATTACTTTATTTTTAAACCAACTATCAAGATTCTCTTCTGATATCATTTCCCTATGGCTAGAGTAGATATACATACGTTTGTTTTTAACAGCAATAGTTTCTTGAAACGAATTTCTGAAAAGTAATTATCTACAGACACGCTCAATTTAGTATGTGGACACCTTTTTTGACGCCCTAAGTACATACTTCCATTGTTTTTTAATCTAATTCAGTCCTACGAATTTTGATATTAGAAAGTCTACAATGTGTAGAATAAGCTGTTTATTTTTAATTTAATTTTTTTTACCGATTTGCAGAAGGCTATGACCAAATAAAGATTTATGTCGTGAAAATTTGATAGGACCGGGCATAGCTTAGAATGGTAGCATATGTCTTGTTTAACTTTTTTTCGGCAGATTAGCCTCTGAGTCACTATTTCATAACTTTTTATAACTGTTTCTAGATATAAGTTTAAGTGCTTCGCTTCTTCTCTCGTAGCCAAACTCAAATACTTATGGTCAGTTTTGTCTTCAAATGGAGGGGGTCAGCGGCGATATCAATTTTTGGCCCCGGGGCGGCCAGATTTTGCGTGTTTGTCGATGGCCCTGCGTGAGGTCACTTTAAACTGGAGATTTGTTACGAAAAGTGCTTGACATTTCTCGCGTCGTAAAATATAGTCCACCCCCCCCCTCCGCTTGACAAAGAAATCGTTACTTAAATGCCACTCGATCTCTCGTACTTTTCAAAGAGTAAATCTAAGTTTTATGAGAGTCTTCCGGGGGTCATCACGACCGTCGCATGAGTAAACAACTATACAACCGAATGTTAATTTCTCTGAGAGTCTTCCGAGGGTCATCACGCCTCGCCGTAGCAAACGGCTCAACACTCAATGCAAAGGTCTCTGAGAGTCTTCCGAGGATCTTCACGGTTGACGTGAGACAAACTCCACACACAAACCGTTTTGTGAGAGTAGTCTCAAAGTGGGCTTGTGTACTCTAGGACAACGAACGTTTAAAATGCAAAGACGATAAGAAGGGTAGACATTTCATCTTCTGCACATGAGAGAGGATGATTAGATAGACTGATCGTTCGTCTTTGTCATTTCCAATCCAACTTTTATCTAAACATTAAGGGTAATACATACGTATATCTATGTACATAATCTTTGCGTGATTATTTTTTTTCTTCTATTTCTTTGTTGCTTGCCCAGAATTATGTCAATCATTGTAATGCACACTCTCTCTTGATTGAATTGAATCCACGGATTTAACGAGCAATCCTTCAAGTATGTCCACAAACACGACATCGACATTTGCCGTGGTCGTAGCCAGCACCTCTGAAACCGCCAGGGACTCCGCACTGTGCTTTTACATCGACATCGTATTCAGCTGTTTCATTCACCAGTTCTTAGTCTCGGTGGCTGCAGCCAGGAGCAGCCACAACACCACGGTGCTCTCTCAGCGCAGCTTGACCCAGACCGACAAAACACTCTCCTGCGCTCTTATTCTCTGCGACTTGTTTCACGACCTTCTTCACACGGTGCGCAGACTGAAGTGTCTCAGATCAAAAGGGGACCGGCGAGATCCAGAACCGATTAGTGTGTTATGTGGCGCACACCTGCGTCTGGCGTCCATTTCATTTAGGGACTGCAGTAGTTTCATTTTACTACAGTTCTTGTCGTGCGTCCACATTACCTTGCGTCAGGCGGATGCTACCGTTGTCCTTTGTGTACAGTATGGGGGTGTGCGTCTTCACCGTCAGCTAGTGCTATAGCCCGTACACGGCTCACTTATACAGAGTAAGTTATTTTCCATCCATAGTTCAGACCGTCAGTGTGTGTAACTAACTAAATGGTGAACGAATAAATGGTCTGCCTCAGTGGTTCCCAACCCGTGCTCTAAGGGCTCCGCGCGCTCTTCCCAGGGGCTCCACGGCCGCTCCGGGAAACTTTGAACTTAAAAGACATAGGATTGGCCACAAGGTGGGCTCCACAAGAAAGGTTGAGGGGGCTCCGTGAGCAACAAAAAAAAGTGGGGGGGGGGGTTGGGAATCACTGGTCTACTTTATGTTTGACGTCATTGCACGGGAAAATGCTAACGACTAGAAGGAACAAGGTGGGCTCCACAAGAAAGGTTGAGGGGGCTCCGTGAGCAACAAAAAAAAGTGGGGGGGGGGGGGTTGGGAATCACTGGTCTACTTTATGTTTGACGTCATTGCACGGGAAAATGCTAACGACTAGAAGGTGACCTGTCCGAATGTGCACGGGAAAATGCTAACGACTAGAAAGGTGACCTGTCCGAATGTGCACGGAAGATACTAAGGTTAGAAGTAGAAAGTCACTTGTCCGATTATATACGGGGTGATACTAAAGCTAGAAGGTGACTTGTCCGGATTATGTACGGGAAGATACTAAAGCCAGAGGGTGACCTGTCCGAATATTTTGTCCTTTTGGTAGGAGAATGCATGCAGGTGTCTAAAAGCTAATGTGTCTGTCACCAAAACCTCTCAATTGCCTCCCCTGTTGGAAGGCTGTTCTTAACATAAACGACAATGTACCGATAGGACTTCAATTTATGCAAGCGCTGATTGGTTTAACTCTAATTTTCTGACATTTTAATCTCGTTTCGTGTCATCCGACTCATGGCTCATTGTTTTTTTTTTTTTTTTGGAAAGACACAAACATGCCACGTTTGAATTTTATAAAACAGTCCAATATAACGAACGGACAGCAAACCGACAATGTTATAGGTGTTTCATTCGGGAGTTTACTGTGAATATCGTTAGACTATTCGATAACATAACATAGGCTCATTTTTTTTTTTTTTTTTTGGAAAGACACAAACATGCCACGTTTGAATTTGATAAAACAGTCCAATATAACGAACGGACAGCAAACCGACAATGTTATAGGTGTTTCATTCGGGAGTTTACTGTGAATATCGTTAGACTATTCGATAACATAACATTGATAACATAACTATTTCACATGTGTTCGGAAACTTAAATTATCAGACCCTGGGAATATTTTTAGAACGAAAAAAAAAAAAAAATGAAACTTAGTTGGCCAATAATTTTTATATTTATTTTAATTATTTGAAATTGTCTTTGATCGATCGGCGACTTTGTTGTGTGGTCAAAACATATGTCATGTTGCCAGTTTGCAGTGATTTAGTTAGCTTGGGGTCGGGCACTCAGGTCTCCGAAAGGCTCACCTTCCCTGAATCTAAGAGTACTAAGGTATAAAGGATTAAATTAATGTAATGTCTGTTAAGCACACATGATTAACGATTAAGATTACCTTGTTAATTCAATCGTGTTAAATCGTTAAAGATTAAGACCACCCGATCACGCCATAATCACAAAGGATATTGGCACGCATAGAAGAGAAGTTCGATTATCTGAGCAAATATTAAAAAAAAATAATTAATTCATAAACTTTGTCACAAAATAGCAAGCATGATTAAATACGTTTGTTGAAGACACCGGAGATAGCACAACAAACTCTTTTAACTGAGATGTTATTCATTTAAAAGGTTATTGTTTTGCCAATGATAACACTGTATACCGGTGCTAAAGCTTATCAAGATTAGTGGATTTCCTTTCGCTGTGGACAACGCGACGCTTGAAAAAGCGTGACCTAGATTCATTTTGATTGTTGCTTTTTACTACTCCCACATCATGTGTGAGAATTCGAGCACTGTTTGCCCGAACATCAGCGCAATACCGCATGCGCCGCCCAGCACGCTGAACGACAGCACTTACGTCCTGCTCTCATTGATCGACACTTTCATCAAAGCGAGCGTCATCCCGATCCTGTGCTTGTTCGGCATCGGCGGCAACCTCATCAACGTCGTCGTCCTGAATCATCACGGGTTCAAGGACACGACCAGCTGGCTTCTGCTCTCGCTGTCGGCGGCGGATCTCATTTTCTCGATAGTGCACCTCGTGCTGCAGCTCAAGTACATCGTGGATTTCTACGACCCCGTGCTGGGGGTTAAGATCATGACCTACTCGTACGTCTGTCTGTCCGTGCTGTACAGGATCCTGATCCCCGTCAACGTCTGCCACGTGACTGCCATCGCCGTCGAGCGGGTGGTCGCCGTGTGTTTCCCGTTTCACGTGGCCAGGATTTTCACCCTTCGGAATGTCAAAATCGGCATCGCGAGCTTCTACCTCATCCCGCTGGGCATGTTCTCGCCCTTCTTCTTCGTGTTCGAGCCACGCTGGGTTTACAGCCCGCAGTTCAAAGCCGTGGTACCCATGGTGTTTCCCACACCGTTTTACCTCACCTGCAGGCGAATTCTATCGGATTACTCCTACTACGTCCTGATCAACATCTTCGGCAACATCGTCCCGGCGACGCTGCTGGTCTGCTCGATCGTCATCGGGGTCACTATGAGCAGGCGGACCATCCTGAAAACGGCAACGATGTCGATGAAAGATAAAAAGGAGAAGAAAGCGTTGAAGATGCTGGTGACGGTGTGCGTGGTGGCGCTGTTCATTTGTCTGCCCGCCCTGGTCATAGACATGATCTCGCTGTACAGCGGTGTGAGCGCAGGGATCCTCGACGCCCTGATAACTTCGATTGAGAAAACGCTCTGCCAGATCCACTGTTGCAGTAACTTCATCATCTACGCCACGCTGAGCTCCAAGTTCTCTCGAATTTACCTCAAGTTATTTTGTCGTTACCGGCAAAAGACGAAGGCATAAACAGATACCGTATCATGAGATGTTAGAAATGCTTTATTCCCCCCCCCCCTCCATACCCCCCCCGCCCCCGCGACAGCAGCTTTAAGACGGCGTTGCTGGTTATTAGACCTGTGTTTCGAAACCTAAGATCTTTTTACGATTCGTCTGCTGACATTTTGTAACTTTTTTTTTTTCAAAGGAGATCACAGCAGTTTTTAGTTTGTAAAATGATCTAATTTTTAAAAATAACTCAACAGATTCCCGTCACTCTAATTTGAACCGTGTGTGTAGGTCAAGATAAAGTTATACGTCATAGGATATTCATGATGGCTGTTCCATCCCATCCCGGGACATGACGTGCGCATTAACCTGGGACATGACGTGCGCATTAACCTGGGACATGACGTGCGCATTAACCTGGGACATGACGTGCGCATTAACCCAGACAGCGGTAGCGTTTTAACATGAGGACGCCGTGTGAGTATCTTCAGTTTACACAGAAAGGAACCTGTTTCATTTACTCCAGAAAGCTGTGTACGGTATTTATGCGGTAGTTATAAGGCATTTATAAGTCTATGCCTTCATTACCAGATCTGCGCTGAGAGGAAAATGATGACACCACATTATGCCAATCATATTGTTTACATAGTGATAGAAATTACAGATTTTGGACTGAATAGAATGAATAGGGATATCAAAGTACCTGTAGTATGATTGATTTGAAAATCATTCTTAAAAAAAATTAATTAAATAAAGCATATTTAAACACTCAACTGTTTAAAATTGTTCAATTTCTTTGGTTAGAAAAACTAAAACTATTATGCTACATTAAATTAATTAAAATAATTTTGTTAAAATGTAATTTCTCAAAGTTTTAATGTTAAACAAAAATTATAAACCACACCAAACCTAAACCACACAGACTGCTCCCAAACCTAAACACCACAGACTGCTCCCAAACCTAAACCACACAGACTGCCACCAAACCTAAACCACACAGACTGCTCCCAAATCTAAACCACACAGAATGCCACCAAACCTAAACCACACAGACTGCCACCAAACCTAAACCACACAGACTGCCACCAAACCTAAACCACACAGACTGCCACCAAACCTAAACCACACAGACTGCCACCAAACCTAAACCACACAGAATGCGCCGAAAACCTAACATCCCAGATTGCTCCAAAACCTAACAGACAGCCCCCAAAAGAAGCAGATGATTTATTTAAATGGTGCTTCATGACAGTTGTTTGCAAGACTCCGACATGACAGATGGAAGAAATGAAGTAATGAATTAACCACCAAACAATGAATTTGTGGGGGGGGGGGATAGCTTCAGTATTGGATTGTGGTTGTGAAGGTATATTTTTATATATGTAAAACTAGTAGGTTGACTAAATGAAATACATTATTAGACCACGTTTGGAGTACTTGGTGTAATTTTCATCCAGGTTATTATTTGAAAAAAAACAGCAACAAAAACAACACCAACATAATGGTTGGTTTAATTTCCATCCATGTTTTATTATATGACTTCCTTCACACTGGGTATAATTTAAAACTGCCTGTCTGGCTGTATATTAAAAAGCCTGTCTGTCTGCACATTTCATGGCCAGCCTCGTTGTACAATTGATGGCCTGGCTGGCTGCACATTTGATCATTTATCTGGTAGTAAATTTTATTACCCGCCTGGCTGTACATTTCATGGCATTTCTGGAAGTACAAACTTTGGCTTGTCTGGGTGTGCATTTTGCTTGTCTGTCTGGCTGTACGTTTCATTGTCTGTCTGTACATTTGATGGCCTGGGTAGCTAAACAATTTATTCCCTGTCTGGTTATACAGTTTATGGCCTGTCTGGCTTTAGAGTTTATGGCCTGTCTGGCTATACAGTTTATGGCCTGTCTGGTTATACAGTTTATGGCCTGTCTGGCTATACAGTTTATGGCCTGTCCGGCTATACAGTTTATGGCCTGTCTGGCTATACAGTTTATGGCCCGTCTGGCTATACAGTTTATGGCCTGTCCGGCTATACAGTTTATGGCCTGTCCGGCTATACAGTTTATGGCCTGTCCGGCTATACAGTTTATGGCCTGTCCGGCTATACAGTTTATGGCCCGTCTGGCTATACAGTTTATGGCCTGTCGGGCTGTACATTTTATTGCCTATACAATTTAAGGTCTGTCTGCATTTAAATTTCTACAAATTATAGATTTATTATTTCATCCCATACTATTAGTATAAGAACACAATGTATTTCAAATGCACTTTAATTATCAACAAAATTGTAACAACTACAGTTAAAAAAAATACATGAATGGAATGCTCATTTCCGCTATTTTATCATACTCAATAAATGTCTTGAACCAAATCTCATCACCACTATATTATCATAGTAATAAATGTCTTGAACCAAATCTCATCACCACTATATTATCATAGTAATAAATGTCTTGAACCAAATCTTATCACCACTATATTATCATAGTAATAAATGTCTTGAACCAAATCTTATCACCACTATATTATCATAGTAATAAATGTCTTGAATAAAATCTCATCACCACTGTATTATCATAGTAATAAATGTCTTGAACCAAATCTCATCACCACTATATTATCATCGTAATAAATGTCTTGAACCAAATCTTATCACCACTGTATTATCATAGTAATAAATGTCTTGAACCAAATCTCATCACCACTATATTATCATCGTAATAAATGTCTTGAACCAAATGTCATCACCACTATATTATCATAGTAATAAATGTCTTGAACCAAATCTTATCACCACTGTATTATCATAGTAATAAATGTCTTGAACCAAATCTTATCACCACTATATTATCATAGTAATAAATGTCTAGAACCAAAATTTCAATTCAATTGAATGGATAACAGCATTGCAAATAAACTCAAAAGAAAAAGACTTTCCGATACCTACAGCAACTTAATGGCTGTATTATCATTATGTGTTTCCTTAATTCTTACCATAAAAGGCTGTAATTATATTGAAAAATTCGAAAATGATTCACACTAAGAAAATAAAATGTTACAATTTAAAAATATAGATTGCTTTAAAAGTTAAAGCAAAGTTGAAGACAGACATTATTTGTACTAACAATTTTTTAATGAAAAGCCTAATTAATTTCTGTATTAACATTCTAATTACTTCTTAAAAAAAATCAAATGGGACTTTGTGCTTTAACAAAGCTTTCCCAGTGCATGATGATTTTTAATTTTAGTGCTAATAAATTGCATTGCAATCCCTGCCCCCTCTACAGATCCAATTGTCAGGAAGAAACACATCCCACCATCTATCAAGCTTCAATAGGGCCTCAAGTCAAAATATAAGAGATTACATACAATTGTGCAAGTCTTTTCTCCATTTTTTTTATTTAGGTCATATTTAACTCAATGATCATATTTTGCAAGTCAACAAGAAGATTAACAGCAGCTTTCAAAATAAGATGGTTAAGGTTATTTACTGCTTATATTCTCAAGAGTCCCTTCAATTCAGCTTGGACCCTGGCCAATCTTGCTGGAACTGCAATAATAAATGTTGCTATAGTGCTGAAAAGTTTTGAGATACCTGCTCTAAAGTCTAAAGAGAGCTTGGCTTAATCAGAACAAAATCACACCTTTTCGCTGGCACTGGGAGCAATACACCTGAACACCGACTGTTTTTTCCTGATAAGTCATTCGTAACTCAAATCTCCTCACAATAATCTTTCTCATACTTAGCTTAATTCACAAGATAGTTGGAATGAGCATCTTGAAGGATGTAATGGCATAAAGCATGAGAAATAGACTGATTATTTTGAAGGACTAGTTCTTTTTTTTCATCCATACCTGGCTACTGGGTGTAAAACACAGGCACATGATTAAAAATTTAATAATTAAAAAAAAACGTACATTACTTGGTAGAGAAATAGATTTTAAAATTAACAATAGTTTTGAATCATTCGCAGTCACGTGACAAGGCTGACCGATAAGATATCTCTCGCCACTTTGTTACAGTGGTCATGTGACTTGGTCGCCGGACAAATAGTGCGGGAGATATACGTCCGGCGCGCCGGACGTGTAGACACTGCATAAATTTAAAGAAACCTAAGCGTTTTGGAGAAATAAGCTATTCGCGCTATGACGCCATTTGCCTGATTATTTATAAAAAATTAATATAAAATTTTATTTTGCAATGTTAACAACGCACTAAAAGACGCACTAAAAATGACTGATTTTAGGGTTTTCCCGATAAATGTGATTACGGTGTAATTCTTTGATCTTGTTTTTAAATTTTTTAAAAATTATTTCATAATTTTTAAATACACATAAAATGCTTAAAATAGTTCCTTAGTTGATACTTTAAATGTATTTGTAATTTATAATAATAATACTTAAACGTTTACTAAAATAAAAGCGGATTTAAAATATTTTTTGCGCATTTAAAATTATTCGATTTCCGTAAAATAATAGAAAATAACTATGAGTGTTTTTAAGAATCCGAACGTACTTAAAAAGTTCTCCCTTTTGGCGTTATGTGACCCTAGCTCATTCTTATATACATGTTACCGGCAATGTGTGAAATCCGGCATTCTATATGCAGTTCTATGTCATGGATTCAGAATTATTTGACGTACTTCACGAGGCTCATTTGGCCGTGGGACATGGAGGAAGGGACAGAATGTTGAAAGAACTTTCACACAACTATAAGAACATTACACGTAATGATATTGAACTTTACCTCCAC